GGAGCTGATGTCCTCCGCTGGAATTTGTGGGCACTACACACGCATGTATAAACACAGGCACATGCGTGACTCAACACACACACAAATAAAACTAAAAATAAATCTTTAAAACAAATTTTAAGACTATGATTCTGCCATAAGAATGGAAGTAAGGCTGTTCTTGGGAAAATCCTGGAAACCGACAAGGTGACAGATCCCAGTGACAAGCTGGACATGGGATGATTTAATTAATAATGAGTGCCAAACGCAAGCAACGGCTTGCTTAGAGCTGTGGGGGAGGATATTATGCATGCTAGTAGAAAGGTATTTTTTGAAAGGGAACAATCAAGACTTCTAAAATTGGTTATGGTGATGGCTATACAAAATTAGCCACTCTAAAAACCACCAAACTCTAAGGCTAAGTAGGTAAATTGCACGGAATGTGAATTGAACAAAAAAACTGTTACTTTACTATTTCTTTAAACCACACTGCTGTTGCGCTTACTGGCCATGGAGTGAAGGAGCATAAAGTCACTGGCAGCTCTCATCAGGAAACCCTTATTCACTCCTCAGCCTTCAGCAAGGCGTAGTGGTGTGTGCCTGTGATCCCCAACCTCACAGGGGTGCAGGTAGGGCAATCAGGAGTTCAGGGTCATCCTTGGCAACTGGGCAAGTCTGAGGTCAGACTGGACTACATAAACCACCTCCTCTCCTTAACTGATTTATAAATATAATGAAAATCTGGAGGGTAACTTGGTCATTGTAGCAAATACAAAACTAACTTTCAAGCTGGAAAAATGGCTTAGCAGTTAAGAGCACTGGCTGCTCTCCCAGAGGACCTGGGTTTGATTCCCAGCACCCACCTGATGGTTCACAATCACCTAGAACTCCAGTTCCAAGAGATTTGACCCTCTTCTGGCCTCTGCAGCACCAGGGTAAACACAGTACACAGACATACACACAGGAAAAACACATATATCAAGTAAAATACAAAAGTCTTTTAAAAACCTACTGAACTTTAGAACAACATAGGCAGATGCAATGAGAAAGAACTGGAAAAGGCCTAGGGTAATACTTGCGAACAACAGCACCCATACCCAACGACGGTCGAGTAATTTGGACAGTTAAATGTACAGACACTCAATTACTAGCAGAAACCAAGGAACAGATTTTATGGAATCAGGATGACTCACTGGTTTTTTTGTTTTGGGTTTTTTTTTTTTTTTTGGGGGGGGGGGACTTTCTTTCTTTTTGGTTTTGGTTTTTCTATGTAGCCTTGGCTGTCCTGGACTCACTCTGTAGACCAGGATGACCTCGAACTCACAGAGATCCGCCTGCCTCGGCCTCCAGGAGTGCTGGGATGACAGGCGTGTGCCACTGCCTCCAGGCTTCGGCAGCTTCTTCTGGCCTCCTTGGGTACTGCATGCATGGGGTACACAGGCATGCATACAAGCAAAACACTCATGCCCATAAAATAAATAAATATTTTTTAAATTTTTCAGAAACTCTACCAAAAAAAAAAAAAAAAAACCCTTAGAAAAAGAACAGGTTTTATGCAAGAAATGTAACTATTGTATGAGCACCAAACCTGGTAAGGAAGTACAGAAAAGGAAAAGTGCAGAAATGTGAGGCTGTAGGGCCAGAACTCTGAAGACAGTGGCATGCTGCCTGCTCTTTCCTATGCACCCTTCCAAAACACAAGCAACAACACAGAGAAGATTCTGCTGGAAAGCACGGGCATCTCCAACGTGAGCTTGGCATGTGGCCAATGAACTACTGGTTTTAGTTGGCTAGCCCAGATGAACCTTTAATACTCAAGGCAAAGCTGACAACAGTAAGGGTCAGCAGGCCTAGTCAGCCACAGATCCCACAGAAGAACGAGACGCTCAGAAACATGCTGTGCTCTGTGTAACTAATAAGAAATAAATAGTTTAGAAAAAATAATAAGCACCATGGCACAGGTCTGTAACCTAAGCACTCTGGGAGGCAGAGGCAGGCAGAGCTCTGTGAGTTCGAGGTCAGCCTGGTCTACAGAGTGAGTCCAGGACAGCTAAGGCTTCCTGGAAAAACCCTGTCTCAAAAAACCAAAATAAATAAACGGATAGATAGATAGATAACCAATTTGTCTTCAATATCACCTTCAAGTAATCCACGTATAATGTCTCATTTCAAAAAGAGGAGGAGGGAGAAAGAACGAAGAAAACCCACAAAACTGGTGTTTCAAATCCTTTCACTAAAGATGGAATTTAACAAAATTAAACCTCAGGCAAACTATTCGGTAAACAACAACAGACTGGCTAACCATCCGATGTCTCAGAAAAACTGAAAGTAAATCCTATCAGTGTGACAAACATCAAGATTGACAATCAGGAAGTAAGTGCAGAAGCCAAATATGAAAACTGTTTTTTTCTCCTCCCAAGACAGGGTTTCTCTACTTTGCAGACTGGGCTGGCCTCAGAGGTCTACCTGCCTCTGCCTCCCAAGTACTGGACTGGGGAGGGACAGCTTAGTGGTTAAAAGCGCTGGTTGCTCTTCCAGAGGACCCAGGTTCAGTCCCCAGCACTCACTTAGCAAGCGGCTCACACCTGTCTGTAACTACAGCTCCAAGGGATCCGAAAGACACACACAGGCAAACATCAATGCATATAAAACAAAAATAAATCATTAAAAATGAAAACTACTTTTTGGAAAGCAGGTTTCAATATAGTATATTTCAGGGCCCCAGACTATTCAGAGTAATGCTCCCAGGCAATAGCAGAAGACTTAAAGAAAGCAACCAATGGACACATAGAAACAATAAAGAGAATCCATCTTAAGGTACTTCAAACAACTGGACGGAGGTCAAGATAGTCTAAAATTATCAGAAAGTTTTCAAAGTAACTCCACCCCTGACTTCAACCATTACTTCCCCTATGCAGAAAATAATAATAATAATTCTGAAAAAGAGGATTTAGTCTGTAAGAGAACAGTTAAAGGAACACTGCTGGGAGAAGTTAAATGGTTCAAGCTCAAGTTTTATTTACAGGCCAGCAAATTGGCTCAGTGGATAAAGGTGCTTGCCAACAAGCCTGAAGACCTGAGTTCAATCACCAGAACCTACAGGTTGACCTCTAACTCCACCTTCTCCACCTTCATACAGACAATAAACACATTCAAATGTTACTTTAAAATGTTTTAATCCATTCGCCCCTTATTGACTAAGAGACTTCTACTCAGAGTAACTCACAGAGTTACCACTGTGATCCAGCAAAGCTATATGAACCAGAACATACGTCTAGCAAGCGTATGATCAACAACTCATATTTTCACAGCATAACGAACAGCAATCCCTGTCTCTCACACTACTAGCTTTTTTCTCCCCAAACCAAATTTCAAAACAAGATGCTAATCCTATCTGATTTAACCCCACAGCATGGAAGCCCTGCTGCTTTCCTTGAATGGATGGATGGATGGATGGATGGATGGATGGATGGATGGATGGATGGATGGTAAGTAAGCAGGATGGTGGCCAGGAACCAAGGAACAGGGACTCACTATTCTCACATCCTCAATGGCTCCCTGACAAAGCTTTCCTCCAAATTTAGTGGCTCATTTTGGACTTTCTCAATACTGCCATCTTTTCTCCCCAGTTATTGGACTTTAAAGTATCAGACTATAAGAGTGTTTCAAAACGTAAAATGCAAATCTGAAAATATACTACCAAGGGGAACAAAATATAGTAGTAGGACACAGAATTTCAGAACATAAAGCCATGCCCCTGCCACTGATTTAGCCCACGTTAATCCTAGTGCTGGAAAATACAGCAATCTCCAGACTTCTGAGAATGCCTTGGCATGTCTCACAAATTCCTAATAACATGAATAATTCTCCTTACTGCCTACAATTTCTGCTAGTTATGATTTTGGAAATAGGGTCTCATGTAATCCAGGCTGGCCTTGAACTTACCCTATAGTTGAGAATGACCTTGAACCTCCTTCATGTTGTGGTGACCCCCAACCATAAAATTATTTCATTGCTACTTCATAACTGTAATTTTGCTAGTCTTACAAGTCATGATGTAAATATCTGATATGCAGGATATCTGACATGCAACCCTCAAAGGCGGTCATGACCCATGGGTTGAGAACCGTTGTCTTAGGGTGTGTCTGTGATGCCACTCCTGGAGAGGATTAACTTAAAGAAGATGGTCCATCCTCACATGGATGGCACCATCCCTCGAGCTTTAGTACTAAGACTTAGTAAAAAGGGAAAAGAGAAAATGGCTGAGCTCTATAACATCATCCCTCCGCCTAGTCTGCCTCCTGGTCTGCCCAGATGTGAGCAAGCAGCCTCATATCCCTGCAGCCACCGCCATAGCACTGCCATAGCCATAGCACTGCCACAGCCATAGCAATGCCCCATCATGATGGACTGTGTCACATTAAACCATGAGCAAAAGCATCCCCCTCCCCGGCCCCGCCTTACGCTGCTCTTGTCAGGTACTGTTATAGCAACAGGAACTGGTGCACGTCTTAGGAAAAGCCTAAGACGAAGTTGGCCGAGTGATCCCCACACAGCAACAACAGTCATACCCCTGTTTAACTCCATCGTACTCATTCTTTAATGGCCACTGCCAGCACCTGGACAGCCACATTTTCCAGGATAAGCAAAGCACCCTGAGAGAAGATAGACACAGAGCAACACAAACACATTTTTAATTCAAAGGACCCGGGTGGGTGTCAGCCCAGGAGGAGGAAACCCTAGCCTCATTCCCTCCGATCTCCATGGCCTCTGGCACCCAGCTTCTTTTCTTGTTTTTTATTTTTGTTTCTTGAGGCAGGGTTTCTCTGTGTAGCCCTGGTTGTTCTGGAACTCAGAGATCCCCCTGCCTCTGCCTCCAGAGTGCTGGGACTAAAGGTGTGTACCAACACTGGCCGGCTCATGCCCAGCTTCTTAATGCGCTCACCAAAAAGGACTGCCTTGGCACACTTGATGTACAAAAAGCAAGCAAAGCTGTAGGTGAGGAAAGGTTAGCATCATACCTTCTCCAGAATGAACTTGTTTAAATATGGCATGTAGCCCTGATTGGAGACGGGCCCCTCATCGTCATCTCTGAAGTGTTCTTCCAGGGCAACGGGGTCATGAGGAACCTTCAGCACCGTGCACAAGTTATGGGAAAGGACCTAGGAGGGGGTAAATAAACAGTGTAAAGACACCCGCTTAGCGCCACACAGCACCACAACGGTGTGAGCACAGCATACTGCTCCCTCCCCTACGCAGAAGATGAGAATGATCTAGCAAACACAGGGTCTCGCTCAAGTGCTGCACCCATGCAGCTCTTTCATTCCTTCCAACTTTTGTTCGCTTCAAGCAAGCCTGTATGTTGGCTGCTCACTAAGGGCCAGGCTCCACGCAAGGTCTGAGAACAAACACTCCTGGCCGATGTATTAACTAGTCCATATTAAGGAGGAAAAGGGAACGGGAGCAATAGAACATGTTCAAAAGTAAACTTTTCCCTTTGCCAAGGAGCTTGGCTGTCAGACCTTGTTTACAGAAAGAACCTGGCAAAAATGCTGTAAAGCATTTTGGAGAAGGTGTTTGACCTGGGCAAGATGTAACTGTTCTAGACTCAACTTTCCCATAGAAAGGGCCACACTCATATATTAGTATATCAAGTATTAATCATTAATCCCTAAGTGTACGGATCTCTAAATTTTGAGGGGTTTAGGCTAAATCTGGCCTCAGTATAAAGACCCCAGACAGGCACCGTGTCCCTTGGGCGGCTCCAGCAGAAGACTTGAGTATGCAGTCAGCCTGGGCAGCAAGTTCCGGGCCAGCCTGAAAAAGAACAGCCACAGACACACCAGAGAGAGAAGGCTGAGGGCTGGAGGTGCAGCTCCATGGCAGAGTGCCTGCCTGGTGTTCCAGCCCTGGGTTCCATCCCAGCAAAAGACAAAAGAGGAGTGCGGGGGGGGGGGGGGGGGGGGGGGGGGGGGGGGGGGGGG